TCAGTGTGATTGCATGACACTGGTGATGGGGATGCCATACAGATTCATGTCAAAAATACCGAACTATCCCTTTAAAGCGGTACCAGAATCAACCCGTTTGCTCCAACATACAGATTTATTTCCTCCACTGAATAAAAAGGTTCTGCTGTGAGATAAACTGTTCAAAGCTTTTCTAACCCTTGATGGTCCAACATCAAGTTCCCCCTAAACTAATCCCTAACGGATCAGAGGTGTTCTGAACCAGGCTGGCAGGGAGTCACCTGGAGTTCCAGCAGGAACAGGAAAACCAGTTAGAGAAGCAACCTGAACCAGTACAGCCTGACGGCCAGCCTTGGTTCCACTTTCTGAATCCAAAAGTTCAGAACCTTTGGTTCTGTCCGGTCACTGGCAGCGCTGAGAAGCCTCAACGGTACCATGACTGGATGAGCTGCGTCCGCCTCCCTATAAACAGCCCAGACTGACCCAGACACGGTTCTGCTGAATGTCAATCAGAACCATTAGACTATCGGATGCATCAGAACCAGAGCAGAGATCAAGAGCAGAATCACCAACTGGTGCTGCTTTGAACAAAACAGAAGAAAGAATCAGAACAGAGTTGAACATGGTTTCAGAGTCAGCAGGACCCCATGACCTGCTGGAACCAGCAGAACCGAGTAGAACGGGGCGGTACCTGCGAAGCCGCGAGCCTCCTCGGTGGGCACGGCCCTCAGGTGGCGCAGGTCGCTCTTGTTTCCCACCAGCATGATGACGATGTTGCTGTCAGCGTGGTCCTGCAGCTCCTTCAGCCAGCGCTCCGCGTTCTCGTAGGTCAAATGTTTGGCGATGTCATAGACCAGGAGGGCACCGACTGCCCCGCGGTAGTACCTGAACCACAGGGGAGGACGGGTCAGAACATTCTAATGGGTTTTTGTTCTGACCTGAACACGGTTCTGATGGAGCGATAATCAGATAGTTTAGTTGAACCGTCCATTCCACCTGCTCTTAGCAGCAATGATTTTATGGGATTCTTTATGAATGATTTTAATAAAAATAAGATCAATAGCACTCCTTTATCTGTGATTAGTTTGTCTCTGGAGGGGGGGGGGCAGCATCTGAGGTAGTCATAGAATCTGAACCGGGTTTAGACTGCTTTGATCCAGTTGAACTTTCAGAGTTAGCAAAATTATTGTCTTCATCTAAGCCTTCAATTTGGATGTTAGATCCAGTTCCAACCAGGTTATTTAAGGAGGTATTCCCTTTGATCTCCTCCTCCATTTTAGGTGGCAAACAGATCTCTTGACCCAGATGACTTGGTCAATTATAGACCTATATCCAATCTTCCTTTCTGATAGGGTTAGGGTTAGAATTCTTGAGAAAGTAGTTGCCAAACAAGTTTGCGATCACTTCCACCATAATGAACTTTTTGAAGA